CAGACAGGAACCACTGCCAACGCAAGCCACTGTTAGGGGAAGAAACGGTCCCGAAAAATGAGGAGGAAACGTGAGCTCCCGACACTGCTCACTGTAAAGGTCGCACTTCCCGACAAGGCCCTGCCAGACCTGGCCCCCGTCCCCTCCGACGTCCTCACGAACCCCTTGTTCATGCTCCATCGTGCTGGCTGCACTGGCTGCCTTCACACTGGCTGTTCCCTTGGCCTTGGATGCTCTTCCAGGCTGTGACCTGACCTTGGGATTCTGAGCCTTTCCTGACTATACTCCCTAAAACTGCAAACTCTGCCCTGCTCTCCATACTGGCCCGTACCCCCACCTTCGCACACTTGTCACGTGATCCCACTGCCCCAGTGATTTCCTTCCTGTCTCCCCACCCCTGGACTGGAAGCCTGGTGTGGTCCGCAGTGAGTGTGAGTCAGCACCTCTCTACTCCGCGGAAAGCCGCCAACCAGCTTCACAGACGAGAACCTCGGCCAGAATTACATTTGCAGAGTCGTAACTTTTCCAACTCAGCGGCACGTTTCTAATGGACGACAATCGGCAATCTAAACCGCGCTGGCGTTGAACCACCTTTGCTGGGTCTCGAGGAGTACCTTTTGATGTTAAGTATGAGCTACGGATGCTTCTAAACCCTTCACACACTGTCCGGGACTTCAAATCCTGGAATGTGTCACAGCGAGTTCCTTACTGTAAGAGAGCTTTACGCAGGGAGCAAAACCACCTGCTGTCACCGGGAGTGACCTGGACGGACGGCTACATCAGAGCGTGCGCTCAGCCCCAGGCACCGTGTGCCTAGCCCCAGGCACCGTGTGCCTGGCCCTGCCTGTCCCATGACCGCACTTGGTTTGGCTGGTCCATGACGCAGTAAACACTCCCCAGGGACTGCATGCAACTGGGGCAGCGGCAGATTCCTAAGAGCCCAACCCTGCACGTTAAGCTTCTGCGTAACTTTCCGATGAAATAGGTCCTGGCTAAATTACTAAAAAAAAAAAAAAAAGGTACCAAGTTACGAAAGAGAATACAGTCGGTGTGCGATTGCACCCTCTAGTGGACAAAGAGTCCAACGTCTTGGCTTGCTCTATTCCTTAGTTCAATTTTTGAGTTTTCTGCTACAGGACTTTTGTGTCAGAGTGATTTTTATTTAAAAAAATTACCTTCTTAGAGACCACACGTTTCACTATCCCCCATTGCTACTGGAAGTACCAGCTCTCTGACGGACTAGACTCCTGTGTGCCTCACCCCTTCCACGATCCAGGGGACAGAAATCTAAGCGCCAAGGCCCGCCCAGGACACAAAGCAGCCTACTCTGAATGAGTAGTCTTTGCGGAACCCAGGCCAGCTGGGGCAGCCCCACGAAGGAGGTGGGACTGAATGACCACGCAGGAGACAGCTGAGGATCATCCCAGGAGCCACACTTAGGGACATTGGCCACAGGAAACTTTCTCACGAGACGCCTCCCATGGGTTCTGGGCGTCCCTCCCATCAGCTACGAAGGAGCCCAGCACACTGCATGTGCTGGGGTGTGGTCCCGGGGAAAAGGGCTGGAGGGTCTAAGTTAAGACCCCACATGAGGGCAGCACAGACGGGACCAGGCCAGGAGTGCAATGCCATGGGGACAGCCTGGGGTGCGGGGGCTCCCGGGAGATGACATATCTCAGCCCCGCCACCCGCCTTAGCATAATGGCTCTTCTCATCCTCACGTCCCTGTTCTCCGCAGGCTCTTCAGCCCTAACGAGTCCCACAGCGACCCAGTGGGGACGCTCTGGCACCCTCCCCGGCGTCAGAGCCAATGAGAAAGCAGAGGAAGGCAAACCCGCAAGCAGCTCTCAGGAGGAACTGCACACGAGCCATCATTTTCCACGCTAGAAAAATGGTGTTACGGCTCCGAGGGTCCCAGGATCTAACGCCTCTGATTTGCCCACCGCCCCAGAGGGGCCCAGCTCCCCAAGTCTGCAGACACGGGACTCCACAGCTGCTCGACGGGGGGACAGGCCCCGCCCGCAGCCACCAGGAGGAAGTGGACGTCTACACTCAAGAGAAAAAGACCACAGGAGAACAAGGCGACCACGCATCCAAATTTATTCCAGAAACACCGAACGCACGGCTCGCCCCAGGATTCGCCAGTATTAACACAGTATTTCGTTTGGGCCATCGCTGCACCTCCTCTAAGGACAAGGGCCGGGAACTCCTGGGCCGTACACCCCTGCGAGGGGCCCGCACGTGAAAACCAAAAGGGTGACGAGGCCACGAGGCCGTGGAAAGCCCTGGCTCTGAGGCTGTACGCTCACCTTGGGAGCAGGCAGGCACCTTCCTACGGTAAACAGCACCAGGGACCCCGCAACTGCCCCCCAGGGCGGCACCCCAGAAGTGCACTGCTGGAAACACTGTGCGAATGAGGAGAGGAAACGCAGGTCACTCAGGGCGAGGGCCCCCAGGCCTCAGGGGTTCCTGAACGCCTTACGCGACTGCTCCCTGAACCCTCATCGGTGCCCGCCTGGCAGGAGTCACTGTCATCACTGTTGTTCCGTTTACCAAAGAAACCCAGGTAAACAGGGCCATGGCCTGAGGCTGGAGGTGGAGCTGGGATCCGACAGCCCGCGGTTCCTCTGGGCACGTGGCCTGTGAATCTCCCCACCCGCATCCCATCAGTGCTGAGGCGGCGCTTTCTCGGCCACCTGTGCTCCCAAAGCCTCCCATGGGCCTCCGCCTTCTGCACCTGGAGTTTCGATCACTGGGCCACCCGGCAGCACTGGAATCAGTCTTGGTGTCAGAAGGCACTCGGGGGCCAGGCCCGCTGGGGAGCTGAGCTGGACAAGAGGCCATTAAGTCAAGAGGTTCACCAGGTACACCCCGAAACACAGATAACGAGCAAGGACGATAGGCAAGTACCTAGCCCCTGGCAAGCCTAGGTCTGAAGTCCAAGAGAACCTGTCCACACCACGTAAAAACGTGCATATCTGTTAACGCTCCGACCACAGCACGAAGTGTCAGATGATTGTACTGTGTGTGGACCCACCACCAACGCGACAGCTAAAAACACAGGCTGGGTTTTCCTTATTTCACATCAATAGATAGCAAAACATTTAAATGACAGTGGGACTTGGGAAAAGTCTCTGCTGTGAAGATGGACCCACTAACCCAGTCCCGCCAGAGTCCCCAAGCACTGTACGACGCCTCCGATGTGTGTGCCTGGGGCTGGCAGTTCTGTGCCACTGAGAACCGCTGGGTCAGGGCTGCTGAGGCCCCACGCTCACCTTGGGAGCAGGCGGGCACCTTTCTGCTGCAAATAGCACCCTGGGGACTAAGTTACGGGTACAGGCAGACCAAAGGGTACGTGAGCGCTGATAGCCACGTACTACATCCCCGAGGCACAGAGCTGCTCATCCGTGCAGAAGGCTGGTGGTGCCCTCGGTGCAGTGTGGTCCCAGGTGCTGGCGGAAGCGGTCGGTACAGGAGGAGGACTATGGGTGAGGGCAGGGGTGGGCAGTGCCCGGCAGCTACCAGTGCCCATTCCTGAGGTCAGCAGTCATTTGCTGGCAAATTCCATCCAGAGTGAAGTGCTCCTTCTGAACGAGGTGACCGCCACCCACCTGCCAGCCGGATTATCAAGCCAATGGTTACCTCTCTGTGTCCCCATTTCTTGACAGTGCCTGCTCAAGGATAAGCGGTGTCTCAAGCGCTCACACTTGCGATAGAGGACAGCGGGTGGCCTCTAAGACACTCTTCAAACAGCACTGCCACTGTGCGTCTCAGAGGCAGAGGTGACACTTGGACAAGCCATCACTGGGCACAGAAAACATAAAGCGTACAGTTTCCTTTGGGGTCCGACTCCTTTTATTTATATCCACTCAAAACAGGGTCTTAAGCAGGTCGCCATTCAAAAACTATGTGGTGATGGATTAAACCAAACAAACCAGGAGGGCCCTAAAACAGAGCAATTACATTTCAGGCACAGAGAAGCGGGCGGGAAGGAACTCGGCAGACCGTCGTCCAGCACACACACATCTTCCAGGAAACCCGCCTGCAAAGAGAACACGCCTCGTGAGTTTTCACTCCACCTCAGCAAGTCTGAACATTCGGAGAATTTAAAACTGTCAGTGCCATAAACAGCCTCCGAAATCCACACTCTCCCTTCCACCCAGAACGGATGTGGAAGTGTCTGGTTGAGAACCGGCTTCTATCAGCCCCTCCCCCTTCCAAGTCTAGGGGCCAGGCCCACCCTACTTCAAGGCCGGTGACGTCCTAGGTCACCTCTCTCCAGGCTATAACCTGTGTACCCGCACCTGGGTCTGTAACAAAGCCACGTTAAACCTGAACTCTGACAAAAACCCATCACCCAACACCAACCTCACACTTTTCTCCCTTTCCATGTATTTCTTTAATTTGTCCTCACCTCGAGTTCCTCACGTCCTCTCAAGCACTTCCGTGCTTCCTGCCTTTTGTCACATGTTTCGTCAGCTGGAAACAGCCTTTACAGGGTCACATCCTGATGGGTCCCATGGACAACGCTCCTCCCTGTCATTCCATAGCATTCACAGCCATCTACCTCTGTAGGTTCTAAGCCCCTGACGCCGGGGCCACTCCATCCGAAAAGCAGCCAGTGCTCTGACCACCGTAGGTACTTAGGTGCTGCTTCTCGAGGAGCAGGCTAACCTACAGCCAAAAAAATAAAAATTAAACGTCCCATGAGCAGTGTCCACGTGTGCGCCTTCTGGAGGGGTCAACATGAGGATTCTCCCCAGAGCGAAATCCAACTCAGCCTCTATGCAGGAAGGGAGGAGCCGCAGGAGACACACAAAGACACCCGTGTGTCCTGATTCCGGCTAAACTGCCACCGCTCCCTCAACACAGTCTAGGCTGCCCCACCCAACACGGCGCCATCACGTGTAAATTCAGTTTAAAAAGCCAGTTCTTCGGCTGCACCAGCCACACGGTAAGTGCTCACACGTGGCTTATAGCTGCTCTACTGCAGCGGTCCCCGACCTTTTTGGCACCAGGGACCAATGTCCTATGAGAACCTGGTGCTCTGAGGCGGCGCCGAGGCGGTGATGCTGGCGCTGGGGAGCGGCTGCAGATACAGACGAAGCTTTGCTCGCTAGTCCGCCGCTCACCTCCTGCTGTGTGGCCCGGTTCCTAACAGGCCACGGACCGGGACCTTCCGCTACCAGATAGCGCAGATACAGACCCCTTCCATCACCGCAAAAAGGTCTGCGGGACAGCACTGCTCTGTACAGCGTTCTTTGAAAATGGCAGATTCTAGCACGTTCTCCTCCAGTTCAAATCCCGTAACGACCTCCAGCATTCTTAGGAGGGACCAGCGTGCCCACACGAGCCGCGGGCTCTGCACGGCCTGGCCCGTCGCCACCTCTTCTGCTTCACTCCAAACGGTTCTCCACCCTGCTTTCTGTTGGCCTTCTTTCGGTCCCTCCGCTAGCCACACTTACCATGACCCCGGCCCTTGGCCTACCCATCGAACTGCCACTCTCCCTCAGAGCCCAGCTCAAGGACCCTATCCCCGGGAATGCCTTCCCGTCCCCATCGGGCTCCCTGTGACGTGTTCTCGCAGAGCTACGCTGTCCCTCAGAGCACTCCGTGCGGCCCTGTGGTGTGCTCACGTAATCTCGTCTCTCCAACCGGCTGGAGCTGGCTGACAGTCAGGGCCACCGCTGTTTTGTTCATCTCTGTCCCCAAAACTTAGCATGGCGCCGGGCCAAGGCATCACTAAACGTTTATTAAATCAACACCGTTCACAGATTTTTTGGGAAATCACCGCTCACTGGTACTGACTGAGTGGCTTTCGTCTTTGAGCATTAGGTCCTGTTTGCAGTATCATACATGATCATCAAACTGCTGCTAGAATGTTCACACCTGTTACTGCAAATTCAAACCCCAGGAAAAAACATCTCCTGGGAATTTACTTTAGGTCAGGGTAGGGCTGCCTGGTACAAGGCTGCACCCACAACTGGGCGGGTTCAACAACACAGGAGCCTTTCCCCAGACCGCCGGCCTCCGGACACTTAGCGTCCGTGCCTGACATACCTGGATCCCCACAACCGAGGTCACTCCGAAGGGTCTATCACGGTGAGCAGGGGGAAATCGTTCGTTGCAGGCCTTCAACCAACGGTCGGGGGCCGAAGAGATCTGCTTTTCCGAGAAAAACCCTGGGGAAAGAGAGTAATAATACCACGTGCTCTAGGAGGGCAAGTCTCATTCGACACTCACACGCTCCCGGAAACCCGCGCTGGCTGCCCGGCCGGGGACCCCAGGCTTTCCTGCCCGCTGCAGCGCCTCCCACGACCGCTCACCTCAACTTCAGTGCCGGCGTCGGTTCAAGTTCCCTCTGCCTTCTCCGTCCGAGCCCCAGCTGCTATGCGGGCAGCGGTCCCCAAAGTCCCGGGCTCCGCGGAGGGCCCTCCCGTTCCCGGCGGAGCTTCGTTACCACCTCGGGGAATGGCCCGAGGCCGCAGGCTAGAGCGGGTGGCAGCGAAAGGCCCGCGTCGCCCACCCGCCCAAGGACCGGGGACCAGCCGGAGCCGAGGGGGCAGCCCCCCTCGGATCCCAGGGCGCTCGCGTCTCCACATTCTTCTCACGCCCGGCCGAAACGGAAGTGCAAACACACTTCCGCCCGGAAGTGACGGCTTACCATGGAGGCGATAGCTAGAGGGTCGCCCTCGGTTTGAAACTGAGTCCTCCAAGGCCGTCTTAAAGGGGCCTCAGCCGGCGAGGTGTTGATTAATGGGGACGAGAGCCAAGGGCGAAGCAGGCTGGCCAGGGGCCCTAGAGCGCAGGAAGCAGAGGGGAGACCGTCTCTCGCGGGCCCGCTGGGTGCGTGGAGCCGAGCTTGTCATCCCTTTACTCCTCACACCACCTTGGGGGCGGGGGGAAGTACAACGGTCACTTAAGTTTCCCCAGTGAGAAAAGTGGTGCCCCCACAAAGCTGAGTTACTTTCCTAAACTCCACGAGCCAGGAAGTGGCAGTGCCAAGTTCAAACCTAGTGTGGCAAGAAGGAGAAAGCTGAGGGTGGGCAGGGTTGCGTGAAGATGAAGGCCAACTTTGCCTATTGGGACATCTGCTGGGAATCTTAACTCTGCCCCAAACTGAGCATGGGATCAATTCCCTTACAGTGCAGTGTGGTTCGATGGCAGAGGAAATGTCGGGCGAGCAGCAGCACTGCTTTGGGCCCAATCCCACCACCGAGGAAGGATTTGCTGGAGCTGTGGAAATGACAGAACCTTGGAAGGTATCTGATCACAGGCTTCCTTGGCGTAGGCACCGTCATCAGCCCTCTGCTTTCATAACAGCAGTCACAAACCCCAGGGCTTGCATTCTGCAGACACTCTGGTTAGCCTCAGGCCCCCTCCACTCCCTGTTGCGCCACACCCACTGTTCTCCATGTTTGCAGTACCTGTGGTGCAAGGAAGGCCCTGGGGACTGATATGCCTGTTGTCAGAAATGGGCTCCCAAGCCACGGAGACTCAGAACGTCCTGGCCCTCACCCCACACGTCTCATCATGCTGGAAGCTTCTCTGTCCCCCAGCCCCTTGCAGGGCCCATGCAAATGGGGTATTGTGGCTTTATCTTGCAGTTAGGATTGCCAGGTAAATTACGGAACATCCAGTTAAACTTGAATTTCAGATTGCTAACAAATAATTTTAAGTATAAGTATGTCCCATGCAGTATTTGCAACATGGTGATACTAAAATAAGTTATTCATTGTGGATCCGAAACTCAAACGTAATTGGGCAGCCTGTTTTGTTTTGTTAAACTCTGCTCGGAATACTCTGGAGAGGGGCTCGGCTGGCGCGTAGGGTTGAGAGCATCCACTCTGGGTTCTGATTCTGGCTCTGCCACTTTGCCAGCTCTGTAGCCCTCACTTCTGGGCCTTAGTAATCTTATCTGCAGATAGGAGGTGACAGTAACCCTCCCTGCTTCATTCGGCTGTTGTAGGGATGAAATAAGATAGTGCATATAGAGCACCTGGCATGTTTATCTGCCCCACGAAAATGTTCCCTCCTAGGGGCTGAATCATATACGCACTTCTCAGAATATACTCAGGTGTGCGATTGCTCAGCTGACCTCAGCTTCCATGGACATTCTGTCCTCCCTCCCTCCTTCCC